AAGTTTTGTGCAAAAACGCATGATCGCTCCGGCTCGCCTGGTGCGTTCCAGCCTACGTTTGACTAAATGAACAATCCGACAAAAACTTTTTTGTTCTTACGCCTTCTTGCATTTTATGAGAATGCAAAGACGCACGATGTCGAAAGCAACTCTGTGTGTATACGTATATGTGTATATGTATGTGTGTGTTCGGAAACGAATGAACTCTGTCACCCACTTTCAATCAACAGCCGGGGTAGCTATGATGCAACACTACTGTCTCAGCCGACGCTTCTTTCTCCCAAATGTAGGAAAAGAATGGAACACAGGTACATAAGTTGTGTGTATTAAATTGTAAAGCAACAACCATTCATAATGTTAACGATTGATTGCGCAAAGTTTAGCGCAAAAACGCATGACCGCATTGGTAAGCTTGACACCTCGCTGCCTGAGTTTTATTAAATGTTGGACCGCAATTTTAAGTAAATATGTAAATCATGCGCGCGTGTAGCCAGAGGTTGTTCATGCTTGCCCTGCACCATCAGCCCCTTTCTCCACGGTCTTTTGGCGTACCAATAACCTGCATGTATGTTACCCTTCCCCTCTCCCATACATACCACTCTATACATCTTAAACCATATCCATTACGCAGCAGATACGATTCCTATCGGTTTTCCGCGGAACTTCGGCGACAAAAAACAGTAAATTTGCAGACATAAAATAAACAGTGTGGGAAAGCATACTTTTGCTACCATCATTGGGATCATGAAGTTATCGGATTCGTTAACAATGCCAATATAGAAAAGAAGAGATAAAACGGCCAGCGCGAGAACTGTAGCAGCGAAAGGCACAAAAATTATTTCCTCCGTAGCAAGTTTCATTAAGACGGCACAGGTGAACAGGTGCAGAAGGATATCTAAGAATACGGTCACCTTGCACACAATCTGAAATATGCATAGAACAACTGAATCACATCTGGTACTCACTGCAGTCAGTCCACCAGTGCCATTCCCGAACTTGCTTTTCGCGCATTTTTAAAGTCAGAATCACTCTCTTTGTATTCAGTTCCTGCAGGACTCAAAGTAAAACTGAATTTCATCACGTCCCAACGACAATCGAACGTTGGTAAGGCTCTCGATGATTTCCTGCCTTGAGCGTTGCTTACAAGTAAGTTGATCGCGGTTTGAGTCTTTGGTATGCGCCAGCACCAATTTGTCATCAAAACGAATAAATGAATTGTGGAGAGATTGCTACTCAACCGGTGCAACAGAATACTCGACTTTTTCATT